GGAGCCGCAACCTCACCATCGACCCTGCCTTGAGTTGGACAGGGGGCGGTGCCCCAACCCCCCAATCGGCCCTACCCTGAGCATGACTGAGGGTGGCATCACAACCTCCCAATCTGCCCTGCTCTGTGTATTGCAGGCGGCAGTGCCCCAACTCCCCAATCAGCCCTGCAATGAGCCCGACCAGGGGCTGCACCTAGGGATTGGGCCTGCCCTCTGCCACCTCGGAGCAGGCCTAAGCCAGCAGGGCGTTTTCTCCCGAGGATTCCCAGACTGCAAGAGGGCACAGGCCGGGCTGAGGGACCCCCCTCCCACCTGAGTGCCCACATTTTTGTGCACCGGGCCTCTAATATTAGAATAAAAGTAAATATTAATTATATATACTAATAGCCTAACATGAAACTGCTTTTTCCCCAGACTGTGATCTTAGTAGATACACAAAAACAAAAACAAAACAAGTCCTATCAATCAAATTACTTTGTGAAACACTGATCAAAAATATTTATTTGAAAAATACTGATAAGCTATGATAAAGCAAAATCCAAAATGTATTGACAGCTTATCAGGTGCCAAGCATAGAGCTAAATGTTTCATTTGAATAAGCTCATTTATTGTAACTTTCTATAAAAATAAAGATTAACTTTAGCTAAGAATTTTTCAATTACTCATAATTGCAAGTAAGTAAAATTATATGCAAGTGTACTTAAATAGGAAAATCTATTATATAAGTCATTAGCCATAATAAAAGCATTATTTATGCTAGACAAAAGGCATCTCCACAGTTACATTTATTTATTGAATCAATTTAAACAATTTTAAATAAAATAATTATCTAAGTTTTTGGATATTCACAATAAAGGGATTCACTACATTTTATATCTATATGTTCAGGATTGTGTAGACACAAATTAATTTATCTTAAATGGAAAACAATTTTTGCCTTGTCCAGGTAGCCCAGTTGATTGGAGCGTTGACCCATATGCCAACAGGTTTCGGGTCTGATCTCTGGTCAAGGAACATACTGAGCTTAGGGATTTGATCCCTGATCTGGTGGGCTGTGAAAAGAAGGCAACCAATCAATGTCTCTCTCTCTCTCTCTCTCTCTCTCTCTCTCTCTTTCCCCCCTCCGTTCAATAAAAACATAATAATTTTCATTGCCAATAACAGTGCTAGAAATTCCCCTTGACCACATTAGATATAGATTGCAATGTGCTCTTAGGAGAGCTAAATAAAATTTAATTAAAATGCTTATTCTAATGCTATTATAGCAAAATGGTCTTTTATTCATTTATTGGGAATTATAAAATCAGTGATATGAATTTTGCACAAGATCATTTAATTAAATAGAAAAACTTTAACTATAAGTAATAATATGGCATGTACAACCTCACTTAGGGTCCAAAGAGAATGTAAAAAGATGATCATTTAAAATTTAGAATAAGCTAGTGTTATTAAGCATTTATTGTTTGGCTACAAAGGAGCTCATCAATTACTTGTGTTCTTATAGCCACCAAAGTAATTTTTAGTAAATTAAGAAAATAATTCATGATCTTAATCAGTTGTGCAGGGCATGCATGCCCCAGTGTTAATTGGTTAAAATAGCAGGAGACGCTATTATCCAGTTGGTCAATTGGCTTTTAGCACCATGGCAGTACATTTATGTAACTACAAAGCTAACAGAACATGTTGAGTCTCAAATATCAAAATTTAATATAGTATAACTGAAAGGTATTATCAACATTTTCTAGTCTAGTCCTTTATATTTCAGCTAGGAAAGCTGTGATGCCAGAAATCGACTTACCAAAATCATACAGGGAATTAGCAGTAGAAGCAGTCTGAAAAGAAGAGGGCACAAACTCCATCCATCTATCCCTCCATTCATCCATCTTTTCATCCTGCATTTCATGCATCCATTTATTCAACAAGTAACTATTAAATGCCTATTATGTGCTAAACACTAGGGATGTGATGAAGAGCAAAACGAGACATACACAATCTCCAGACTTATGGTGACTGTTTTGAGAATACAGATGGAGGTGAAAAATATTAATAAGATAATCACTCAAATACACACATGTAACAAAGCAAGACAAATGCTCTTTTAAAAAGTAACATACCCCTGATAATGTATAACAAGGGAGCCAGACCTAAACCAGGGGTCAGAAAGGGATTCCCAGAGAAAGTGGCCCTTATATTGAGTACTAAAGGCTGGGCAGAAGTTATGAGAAGAAGGGAGAGGGTAGAAAGAGGTGCCAAAGCCCTAGAGAAAGAAATGAATATTTGAGGAACAGAAAGCCCAGTGAAGGGGCTGGAGGGACCAGTGAGAGACTATAGTCCAGACTAACACTTTTGACCTTTATTCTAAGAGTCATGGAAAGCTCTGGAAAAGTTTAGCAGGAAGATAAAACTCTCATCTTCAGCAGTGTTATTTTTACATGGGCAAATACCAGATTCCTAAATGCTATTCAAGGTATAGGACGTTTTTCTAAGTTTTGGTTCTGTAAGCAATGGCCTGGAGAAGGGATGAAGAATAGCAATAGGGACATGAAGGAGATTGGAAGTTGGTTGCCATGCAATCCATTTGGGCAGATCTGTTTCAGGGCTCTGAGCATAGTCATGTTTGAAAAACACAATTGTTTGGACAACTTAAATATAAGTGAAATTTGTTCATAGTTATAAGCTACCTTAGGTTAGCTTTATATGGAAAATCTTTACTCTTGGAATTTCTAAGATTATTTGTCCAGATGATGTGGCTTTCTTTTCTTCCGGTTCACTTTCTATTTGTAACAGTCTGTAGTCAGGATAAGCAATTATCTCTCTTCATCAATGCCTCTCTTGAGATATCCGAAGGTAAGGATTCTGGCTGATCTCATCTGAACAACTGGGCTGCTAAAATACATGTTCAGTAAGTCAGTAGAAATCCAAGCCATGCATATGTGAGGAAATGCAGTCAAGTGCTTAAGAGTGTAGTTTTAATCAAAATCACATGGTCTTCAATCCCAGTTGTGCAAGGCTTAGATATGTTGGAACCTCATTTCACTCTCCTTAAAAAAATCTCTGACAATTCTTCACAAAATGAACAATAACGTCCCCACTGCTCGGCACCATCCCCTTCCATTCTCTTCATACTCCCCAATTTTTTCCCACCAGCTTTCCCTTCCAGGCAATCAAACCACCTGTCGAAGCCTCAGTTATCCTGTCTATAAAAATGGAGATAATACTTATATCTATTAAGACAGAAGTTAAACAAGTGCTTTGCAAATGGCATTTTTTTATTATATGAGATCAGATGAGAGAGAACCTTAGACTTTGAGTTATTAATCTTCTGTTTAGTAATAGTTTGTTTCATCTTCCCCCAAAGATAATAACTCTGAAGGAAATAATACAACAAGAGCACTTACACTGAAAGATATTTTAAATGGGACATTTTCTTATTGGACATATTTTCCAACTTGGATTTCAGGTAGGTGAACTTTTTTTGCTTTTGTTTTTTTTTTTAAAAAGATGTCAAACTACAGAGGGAAGGCAGAGAAAGGTTTGGGTTGGGGGTGAAGGGTAAGAGATCAACTGAAGGACTTGTATACATGCATATAAGCATAACCAATGGACACAGATCCGGGTGGGGGTGTGTGGTGAGGGCATGTGTGGGGAGGGGAGGTCAATGGGGGAAAAGGAGACATATGAACTACTATTTGTAATACTTTAAACAATAAAAAAAGAAAAAAAAGAAAAGATCAGAAAACATAATGCAAAAAAAAAAATGTATGTTTTCTGTTTTTGCTTTTAGTGCCAATGTGTCTCTATGGTAACAAAAGCCATATCAGTTTACATGGGGGAAAAACAGCATTTATTTAGATAAATCAAGTGACCAGCAAAGAACTTTTGACAGAGCCTTTTAGACCAGATTTCCCCCAATAACGAGGCCAATAGGAGTTTAGCAGAAAAGTAAAAGCTGAGAATTGTTACAATAATCTGAGCATACGGTATAGCTATTCAGAATGGAAGAGAAACACCTATTTAAGAGAAGTCATGAGAATTTTACCAAAGGGGAAATCCATTGTTAATCTGGATAATCCCAGAAATGGACAAATCCCATCCTAAAAAACAAATCCTTTAAGGGCCATAAAATTAATATTTACATACAGTTTTGTAAAATAGGATGTTGTCAAATAAAACTAATCAAAAATAATAAAGTCAACCAAATTTTGTCTAAAGTGCCAGTAAACAAAAAATCAAATAGTTTCATTTTTTACTTTAGAAAATAAAATGCACATAAAAACGGTTTTAAACTCAATCAGGCATAACCCAAATTAAATGAATTTTTATTGCAAAAAAAATAGCATTTAAAACTAGTTTATCCTCTTTGTAACACAGATAAAAAGCAATTTTATTCCACCACACTGAACTGGTTAGGATAGGGCTGCTATTAACAAAAAAGGGCATATTTGTGGAAAGTAGGAAATAGTATTCTTTTCTCCCTTTACACTTAACTTATTTTAAATCTGGAGAAGTCATATATACTGAACAAAGAGGAAAAACAAAATAAGTTTGTGAAATAAGAGAGATTTCTCTTTGTTATAAATGTAGTTCCTGTTAAGGGAGACTATTTCAAGTTTTGTTTTCCTTCTTGTTTAAAGGACAAGAGTACCTCCATCAATCTACAGATAATAACATAGTATTTTATAATATTGAAACAGGAGAATCATATACCATTTTGAGTAATACCACCATGGTATGTATGCAACATCATCTTCCTCCTCAAAAGACTTTGCCAGCTCTTCACTGATCAATAAAGAGCCCAGACTCTTAGCACCTGATCTGGACCCAACCCGCCTTCTCAGCTCCATCCTGCTATCCTTCTCCTTTAATTCTCCCTTCTCCTCACACTAGACTCCTGCCCTTCCCTCCTCTAAATCACCCAGCATCTTTCTTCCCCTGTGGAAATAATATGGTCTGAGATAAGCGTTAAGAACTCAATCCTATAGTCAGGCATACTGAGGCTGAAATCCTGGCTCTGTCACAACATGTGGAAAATTGGGTATGGTTCCACACGATACTAACACTACCAAGCTTCAGCTTCTTCTGTAAAATAGGAATAATAATAGCTCTTTGGATTAATGTAGGAATTAAGTGAAGTAACATTTGAAAGTGCTTTGGACAGTGCCTGACATAGAATAAGTAGGCACATGCTATTCGGTCCTCTTAGGCTCTCAGCCCTCTTCCTTTCTCTCCCCTCAAGAGCCCACTAATCTTTTAAAGCCACAGTCAGGTGACCCTCTCCTCTATGCAAGCAATCACTCTCATGTAGATTCAAGCACTTCGTCCTTAATGCTTTTGTAAAGTTATATTTCTTTTATAGAACTAATTTCCAATATAAGTTACTTATTTACAAGTTTAACATTATAAGCTTTTTGAAATCACAAAGTATATCTTTATTATACTGTCCTCCCATAATATCTAGTAAGTTTCTTCCTATACAGTAGGTACTGCATAAGTGTTTTAAAATTGCACTGAAGATATATGCAAGTAGGAGATATCAAAGATGTGTTATTCTGTTAGAACTACAAATTAACATGGCTCTGTTATTTTTTTTCTGCATCCTAATCAATTTTTTCATAATTTCAGAAAAGTGTGAATGCTTCAAATTATGGCTTATCACCTGATCGGCAATTTGCATATCTAGAAAGTGATTATTCAAAGGTATTGACTATTTAATTTTGATAGATCTGGCCATATCTCTTACTAATCCACAGTTTGGTTTGTAAATGTAAGAGGAAGCAAGAGTGTATTTTTATCTCTAAATACTCAAGAAGCTCATGTGGGCTCTAGATGAGCCCCAAAAGCATAACTGAAACATAAGCAAATAATTTCGCTTACTTATCTGGTTATCAGCAAGTAGTAGCAACTAGTTTCCTCTGGGAAAACACTTTATTTGAGGGCACAGATATTCACCAGAAAGGGGAGAATTATCTTTGTATTTCTAAAGCTATTTGGTATCACAAATCATTAGTTAATTCCCACATTTTAACCTCACAAAAGCTCATTGTTTAAAATGAAAAAAAAATCAAGATGTGACTTATTTAACTCACTTGCTCAAGCAAGATGACATTCAGTCATTAATAGACCAGAAGTTTAAATCTGTCTCCAAAAGCTTCGTGTAGGAGAATCCCACAAACCAGACCATTTCCCCTTACTTAACTTCTCCCTCCTGGCTGACGTTGTAGGGTAAGTCCAACAACTTACTTTTTTCTCTTTCTACATCTTCAAGATGATTTTTATTTTTGCAAAAGGCCAAGGGAATTTACTACTGATTTAAACATCTACCAAGTACTTTTAGATCAAGAACCTATAGTTTTAACTGTCATTTTTCATAGCCTACTTGAGATGCAAAACTCCCTTCATATTCAGAATGAAAAGTTCGTCTAGCCCCTGCTTGTTGTTTAGTCAACTGATTATTTTCCAAGGGACGGGGTCCTGGTACCATCACTCTTTAGAAAGACATGTTTCAGCCTTCTGGCCCTTCTTTGTCAAGAGTCTGAATGCCCTTTTAAGAAACAAAACCCAAAAAATACCTGCATTATTCACTAACCACGATATAAGTATATTTATGAGAGAAAAAAACACTAGTTTTTAAAGAAGGAGTCACATGCTCTATCTCCCCTATTTTAAAAAAAAATCTATTAATTTAAAAAACCATATTCAAAGAAAGCCGAGCATTTTACAATAAAACTATACGTTGAATGAAATTCTTTTTATCCTGTTTTAATGGGTGTCATGATAACCGATGATTCAGGTGCAAATAATAATGAGGAAACTACTAAAAGGAGTTTACATTTCATTCTGATGACTCCTATGGGCCATGGAAATCCTGGTGGTTTTACTTCAGTGAAGGTAAAATATGAAGGGAAAATTCTATAGAGCATGTCAAAGAAAAGCTTTTCAAATTAGCAAATGTCTTTGAATACAGTTATTATGGAGTGAGGGGTGAATTATGAAATGTGGACAAACAGCACAAAAGTCCATAGTAAAATTCTTTAAATGAAGACTGATTAGGAATTGCAACTTACTCTTCCTAGTGCCCTGTGAAAATAGTCCTTTCAGAATTCTGAACCTTGAATTGAATGACCTATGACTATACATTCCTGATATAAGCTTTTAAAAGATTAAAATTTGTCTTTGCCTCTCTTCTTTCTGACAGCTTTGGAGATATTCTTACACAGCAACATATCACATCTATGACCTTAGGAATGGGTAAAACTTCATGTTTTTTTATGAATACTACTTAAGTCTACTATATAGACTTTTCATCCCAAACTCTGATTTGAGGTTGACTATCCTGTTACTGATCTTAGCTTCTTGCTTCTTTACAATATATGTGCACCCATAAATTAAGAAATTCAAGGAAATATCCCTATGCAATATTCATCTTTTTATTTGGCTAATATTTTGCATTTTTATAAACAATCTAGTTCCCCCATATGTCTGAACACCAAATTACAAATATGCTATTTATGGAAATAAACATAAGTAGTAAAAGTATAAAATATGCATGGTAATGATACACTGCTTCTAGAAAGGTGGCTGCTTCATTGGAAGGAAGCAGAAGGCAGAGGGACCATTAGTTGTATCTGAACATATACTCTGTTAGTTGATTTTAAATTACTTGTTTTTAAAATTGCAAAGTGTTAATATCTCAAATTTAGATGGTACATAAATTGCCATCTATTATATTGTTTTCTTTATTTGTAAGTTTAACTATTTACAATATATTTCAAACAGAAAAAAATATGCAAATAAGTCAGTAGTAGAAAAACTGAGAAAGGGAATTCCTGGCAGAAGGAATATTATATAAAAACACAAAGGGAAATGGAGAGCATGAAAGGTTCAGGAAGCTGGAAG